GTATCATCTGCCCCTTCACCCTCAGGAGTCCATTCCCTCAAGAATTGGCGCACGTCCCGCGATGGACCTCCTCCGTCCTCTTCTACCGCGTTGATCATGATGGCCCTAGAGAGCCAGTCTGCCACCACGTTTTCCTTTCCCGGCTTATACACCACCTCCATGTTGTACTGACTAAGGAATTCTTTCCATCTCGTGACCCTCGCAGAGGTTTCCTTAAGTTTTCCTACCCACTGAAGGGGTTTGTGATCGGTGTGGACTCGAAACTTCCTCCCAAATATATATGGCCTGAAATGGTCGATGGCCCACACTATCGCGAGTAGCTCCCTCTCTAACGCGCTGTACCGTGATTCCGCGCTCGTAAGTCGTCGGCTCGCGTATGCTATCGGACGTTCACCCTCACTTCTGCCCTGGGATAAAACGGCCCCCAACGCGTATTCGCTCGCATCGGTGGTGACGTTGAACTGCTTCTCAAAATCCGGGAACGCCAATACGGGTTCTGCCTGCAACCTATCCATGCATTTCCGAATATTATTTTCCATTTCCGGTGTCACCACGATCCTCGCGCCTTTCTTCAGCAAGTTATTGATAGGTACCAAGTATTCTGCCATCTCAGGTACGAATCTCCTATAATAATTCAGCGTCCCGAGAAGCCTACGAATCCCTTTAACGTCCCGTGGCACCGCCATTCGTGTGATAGCCTCCACCTTTGCCGCATCCGGTCTGACCCCCTCGCTAGAAATAGTGTGGCCTAAAAAATTGATTCGCGTTTGTCCCAACAGGGACTTCTCACTTGACAGTTTCAGCCCGAATTGTCGCAGCCTTTCGAATACCGACCTCAAATGCCCCACGTGTTCGGCTTCCGTTCTGCTAAAAATCAGCAGGTCGTCCATGTATACTTGACATACGGAGTCGTCGATCCCCCTCAGAAATTCGTCCATCAGGCGTTGAAACGTTATGGGCGCATTCTTCAGACCAAACGGCATTCTGGTGAATTCGTAATGCCCCCTTTCGAATGTAAACGCCGTCTTATGTTGGTCCTTCGGGTGCATCCGTATTTGGTGGTATCCCGCCTTGAGGTCCAACGTGCTAAACACCACGGCCCCACTCAACCTATCAAGTATATCTTCGAATCTAGGGATCGGGTACTTTTCGTCTACCGTGTTGTCGTTCAACCTACGATAGTCCACTACCACTCTGTATTTTTCCTTATTATCCCCCGGCGCTGCCTTCTTTTTCACTGCCCACAGGGGACTATTAAATGGCGAGGTGCTATCGACTATGATCCCTTGCTCCTTCAGGCTTTCCAATTCCTCCCGAATATGCTGCCTCATCGCCTGCGGGTATCTCCTTTCCTTTACGTAGGTCACCCTATCTTGCTTCAGTGGAACTTCGTGTACCGTCTTCCCTGTTACCCCCAATACCTCGCCCTCCCTGAAGAAAATATCTACGAACTCCGCTTGTAACGCCTTTCTCCAGTCCTCCACCCTGTTCACCGCTCCTATCCGCACCCTTCTTTCTCTCGCGACCCCTATACATCCAAATTTCCTCTTTCCCAGCCTGATACTCCAAGCTCCTCTACGGTTTCTAATGCTTACCCCTACCTGTCCTAACAGATCACACCCTATTATGACTTGGTACTCCCGCGCCATGCTCTCTACCACATGCACCCTTAGCTCCCCCTTTTTCCCTGCCCACCGGTCAAGCGTAATTGACGCTTCCCCTTCTACTTTACAGGGACCACCCAGAGTGATTAGCTGGCAGCCACAGTTTTGTATCCGGAGTACCCTCTCGCTCCCGCACACTCTCCCCAACGCCCCCCGAGTCAAGATAGTACTCGAGCTCCCTGTGTCCACGAGACACTTCACTCCCCCATCTACTTCAATAATCGGCAACCAGCATGGCTTACCTCTAATATTGTTGCAGGTTGCTGTGCGGTCGCCTCTCTGCTGACACCCTTCTCAGATGCCACCTCGCTTCCTCCTTACCGCCGTCGCTCGTCGTTGCTCGCTCCGTTGGCTGCTCCTGCCTCCTTCGCCTCCACTGCTGGCTGGCTCGTCAGTCTCCGTTCCCGACGTCCCCGACTCCTCGGTTGCCTCTTCCGAAGATCCGTCTCTCTGCTGCATCCTAGCTCGTTTTTTCAACTTTTGAGCGTTCACCTCCATTGGCTCGTCTAGAGGTCTCTCTCTCCTGCGAAACATGTACGGGCACTGTCTGGCAATATGCCCTTCAGTCCCGCACTCGAAACATCTAGTGCGCGGACATTGTGCTACCAAATGTCCCGGTTTCCCGCACCCGTGACATTTTCGGTCTTCCCTCCGGGGTCCATTCCTAGGCCTGGACTGTCCGGATCTTCTCTCGCCCGTCGTGGCTTTTTCTCCGTTCGGGTGTTTCATTTCCCTCTTCCTCCACCCTATCTGGGCTGTCCGGGGTCGTCTGTCACTCACTCGGGTCCACCCTGGTTCTTCTACTTCCATCCGCGTCTCTTCCTCTCTTGCACTCAGATCTATCATTTCTTGGGCACACTCGAGGAACGATCGCTCTCTAGGCAGTCCGTCCCTTCTCCCAGTCTCCTTAGCCAACTGAACCTTGAGTATTGTCGAAAGGAATTCCATCCTAGCCTCGACCTCTCCCACACTCATGGTTTCACGCATTTTCTCAGTTATGCGGTTGTACTTCGCCACTAGTACCCCCGCATACTGTCCTCTTGTTTGGCGTTGGGACCGACACTCCCTAAACATTTGGAAGATATCTTCTTCCGGCGTCCATCGGCCCCCTCCGAAAGCCTTCTTCAAACGCTCCTTAATCACTGGCCATGGTGTCTCCTCGTCCGCTTGGATTTGGTTGAGGATGTTCCTCCTCACTCGGCACACGAGAGCTGCCTTCAGTGCTTCTGCGTCTCCCAGGTTCACGAGGTCCTCCGCCACCTTTGCTTCGATTCTTGATATGAGGCGGTCTCCGCCTTTCAGGAAGTGATTAAGTTCACCTATCTCGCCCCCGAATCGCTCCAGGTCTGCGATTGCTCTCCGTAGATCCTGCGTGGTCGCTGCCCTTATCTTCATCCACTCCAATGCATTGGCATGCGCCTCTGCCAATGTGTCCCTAGGTAAGGGAGGGATCTCTTGTATCTGCGGTACTTGAGGTATCTGAGGTATCTGCGGAATCTGCGGAACCTGAGGGGCGATCTGAGGAATCTGCGCTATCGGCATTTCCTGAGGTTGCGGCATTTCAGGTGCGTTCAACACTCCTGGTCGAATTATGCCCTCTGTCGGCATCTCGTCTTTTCCTTATGACTAGGAGAAGAGAAAAAAAAATTAAAATAAAGACAGAAAAAAAAATTTTACTTCCGTGTTCTCCTGACGTTCTCCCGGGTTTCGGCACCAGTTAAGCGTCTCCGGGCTTTAAAAATAAAAAAAAAGAAGGAAAGAGGAACGAGAAACAATACTCACGGCTTCTGAATAAACACTGCTTTATTCGTCCAATAATCTGCCTTATATACAATCGCTATGTTTATTTACATTACAAGATGGTATTAAGGCTGATATCGCCAGTCTCCGGTCTTTATCTTATATATATATATATATATATATATATAAGAAAAAAAAAATGTATGTATTGAAATTCATACGTCGATAGTAGGAAATGCATGTACTATCTTTAGTATCAAGTATTATGATAATATGATTGCTACACAATACATATATAATATTAATAGTTAGCTGGTATCTGACTGTTTTTGGAACAGGAATTGGAATAGAAGGTTTTTGAATGTGTATAGGGAAGGGGCATGTCGAATTTTGATCGGGAGGGAATTCCAAAAGTTGACAGAGCGGGCTATAAAGGAATTTTGGAATGAGGCAGATCTATGAGAAGGGATGTATAGGTCAGAGGGTCGGGATCTTGTAGTGAGGGAGTGGATTGAGGACTTAAATTGGAGAAGGTTGTAGGCATAAGAAGGACGATGATCGGTAATGATTTGATAAAGGAAAGTGCCTAGGAAATATTGTCTTCTTAAAGAGGAGAAGAGGCACCCTAACTCAGTGTAGTGGTGGGAGACACGGGAGAGTCTCGGGGTCCCAATTACAAATCTTACGAAGCTATTCATAAGTCTTTTGAGTCTATCACGGAGTTCCACCGAGAGGCCATCGTACACCACACAGCTGTAGTCAAAGTGGGGAAAGATGAGAGAGGAAACTAGGAGTCTACGGGTATTTTGGGGTAGAAGATGGCGGAAGTGATGGAATAGTTTGAAAATACATGTAAAATCCTGTAATAAGTGCAATGGCGGGAGCTGAATTGGACCCTTTCATGTTGGGATGAATGTCGTTAGGATCATATCAATATGATACGAATAATAAAGTCAAGATGGACAGAGACGAAGCTCCAGAACAATTTCATGAAGGATTGTGGGAACGCGTGCAGCTGCGGGAAGAACTGACGTGTATTTAAGGCTGCAGCTAATGTAGTGGCGCTTGTCTTAAGGAATCTTGAGAAAAATTCCTGATCAACTTTAACCGAAATGCTAGAGCATACATTATAGACAGTAGGCACAGAATATTCTCTAGCACTTCAACTTTGTTTTCATTTGAGAAAACGGCAATACTCAACTTGGTTCTCTCATGAGAGCAAAACGTATATAATTTTTTCAATTAATTAGTATCCTTAAATGTTCAATGAAGTTTTTATATATATTTCGTTCTTTGATACTGTCAGGTCTGATCCTCATTGAAGTAGTGTGATAGTGATTAAAGACCCAATTTTCAAAATTACATCATCTAAATAACCTTCAAGTTTGTTGATTAGAAATAACATCATTGAAAATTATTCTTCTCATTGAGGATCAGAATTTGTTCTCTTTGAACCTAGTTTAAGATTTAACAAGAAAAATGAACGCCAAAAATAAAAAGTAAAAAATGAACTGTAAAAGATAAAGTACTGGAATAATGAATAATATTACTGGTTTATTTATAACAAAAAAAAAAAAATAAAAAAAATAAAATCTACGTATGTTCTTGTGGAGTGAAGAAAATATAAAAATCTTTAAATCTATGATTATATGATTGATAGTTAATATAGTTGCTGTGACAACATTATCAAAGAGGAAAAAATATTACATAAAATATTAAACTAAATTTTAAAAGACATTTGAAGTTATTTTTTAATTCCAAATATCAAGTAACTGTTATTTACAGCTACAATAAAAGAACTGGAATAACATATTATGCCTTAGTTAAGTTGGTAAACTAATGTCCTCACACATGTGTGAGGAGCCTCAGGAGTGAAGATAACTTTGCCATCTTCATCTTTGTAATCTGCGTAGTTGAGGGTGTAAATGCATTCGAAGCCCAGTTTGGTTACTGCGAGGGCCGTAAAGTGAGAAGTGGCATCCGTCTTAATCATTTGAAAACCATTTTCACTGGCTACTCTTCTGAAAAAATAAAATAAAAGAGTAATAGGCTGAACATGGTAAATCAACATTGAATTTGAAGGGCGAAAAGGAGTCGACTGAGAGAGGTTAATAGGCTGAACATGTTAAATCAACATTGAATATGAAGGGTGAAAAGGAGTTGACTGAGAGAGATTAATAGACTGAACATATTAAATCAAAATTGAATTTGAAGGGTGAAAAGGAGTTGTCTGAGAGAGGTTAATAGGCTGAACATGTTAAATCAACATTGAATTTGAAGGGTGAAAAGGAGTTGACTGAGAGAGGTTAATAGGCTGAACATGTTAAATCAACATTGAATATGAAGGGTGAAAAGGAGTTGACTGAGAGAGGTTAATAGGCTGAACGTGTTAAATCAAAATTGAATTTGAAGGGTGAAAAGGAGTTGACTGAGAGAGGCTAATAGCCTGTTGTCATGATGGTCCAGTCTCTAGAGCAAAAAATATTTTTGAAAGGAATTAGCTGGTAAGATCACTAATTTTCAATAACTCCGTGGTTGAGTAATTTAAATTAAAAATAATTGACTAAAGAAGTTATACGTCATTTGGTTCAGCCGGTACATTTTCATATGGCTGTTTATATATTCTATATATACATACCGTAATATAAACACACTTTATAATAAGCAATATTGAAATGAAGTGCTTTTATTACGTAAAACACAGAGTTTCTGTGCGTTCCTCTTACGGAATTCTAATCCTTTATTTGTTTTCTAAAATTAACTAATCGTTACATTTTATTTTATAGTAGTTTTATCTATTGAGCTAAGTACATTTTCTGAAACTTGAATTTTCAAAATGAAATTAATTTAAATGCTCCATGAGCCTTTCTCAGTGGAATATTCTCTAATCTGAAAAAAAAAAAAAAAATCAAAACAAACAATCTTCAGATACTGAGGATAGAATCCGACTTGCGGCAGCTATTGGAAACTAATAGGATATTTTTTTCATTTGCAAAAATTAAAACCAATTTTCAATGAGCTCTATATAAAAAATGGTTCTTGGTTTAAAGCTGTACAAAACTATTTATAGAAACGATGAGCAAATTTGGGGACATTGTTAACAACCTCAGCCGTTGAGATGTCTAATAGCAATATGTTTCATAACGAAAACTGAATTCAATAAAATTAATTTATGAATTTTGATAACGCTCAAAAGATCCATATTTTACGGATAAATTGTGTAGGAAGAAGAAGTTTAATCACCTGTGGAAAGACTCAAGAAAGGAAAAGCACCAGGGAGTGATAACATTGCTCCTGAATTCATAAAATATGGAGGGAAAAGTATAATAGGGGCACTTCAAGCTCTATTTCGAAAAGTTTACGAAGAGAAAAGGATACCCAAGGATTGAGAATATAATTTAATTATACCCATATTCAAGAAAGGGAGTCAGAGCGAATGCTAAAACTACAGGCCTAACTGTTTGTCTCAGGTTGTATACAAAGTGTATACATCGATTCTTGAGAGAAGATTGAGAGGCTTGGTAGAAAATAAATTGGAAGGGGAACAGGCAGTTTTCAGACCATCAAGACAAACCCAAGACCACATCTTTGCTTTAAGGACAATTATAGGAAAAGCCTGGGAACGTGACAAAAATATGTATTTGGTCTTTTTAGATATAAAACCGGCTTACAGCAAGCGATTGTGGAATGGGAAGCTGAGCTTGAAAGAAAAGATATGATCATAAATTAAGAAAAAATTAAGATTATGCTGATAGGTCGAGATATTGAAGACATATAAATAAACTGTACATGGGCGGGGTGGCCGAACGGGCTAACGTGTGTGCACAGCACCACCGTGTCCCGGCAACCTGATTTATGATACAAGGATAAAATATAGTCACGAGTTCGCGTCTCGGTGCCGAGGGTATCTTTTAAATCCCTGCCCACACTCCGTGGCCGGAAAAACCCCATATAGGGCAAGGAAGGGGAGGATCCTAAAAAAAAAAAAAAAAAAAAAAAAAACTATATGGGTAAGAATCTGGGAGTTGGTAGAGGAATATGCATACCTAGAGACAGTTGTTGGTAGAAATGAAAAATAGACCAAGAGATATCAAAAAGGATCAAAAAAGCAAATGAAATTACGAGATCTGCAACACGGTCTTAGGAAAACGAGAGGTGGAAAATACTAAGATCAATATATACAACACACTCTACCCTTCATCCCTATTGTACGGTATTGAGAGCTGGGTCCTTTGGGGGGTAACCAGGTGCTTCTTTTTCGTGAAGAAAGCTTATGAAACATTTATCAGGGTATAAATACAACATAAATTTCGTGTTTTATTATTCACTGCAGTTGGAAATGCTCCGATATCTTACTTGGTTTTATCCAAAAGAGCTTTGGCGATGCCTTGACCTCTATAAGCTTCGTCAACAGAAAGTACTCTGATGTCAATGAGCTTATCCACATAAGAAAACCTTCCGAATATGTCCAACTCGATGTTGATAGTATCGATCAGATCTTGTGTTATGCGGAACTTGGGGTCGAAGCATTCCATTTCTTCGAAGTCGTCTGATCTGTTCACGATGGCATTGAGGCACACACCAATGATGTCACCAGATGGTGAAACGGCCTTAAGTGAGATACCTAGGAAGTTAAACGTCAAAGATTAAAAATGAATGAATGGTTTTAATTTAAATTTTAAAAATTTATTGAGGTTGATATATTACAAATTGTGGTTATTGAGGTGTTTTAAATAAGAAATTATGTTATCAATTTACTTCAGTATAATGAAGAAAGGTCTAGATAATTGAACTTCTTTCAAGCATTTGACACTTCCCATCCTTATTCTGATTTTTTTTAAAGAAACTTTTCAGACGTGTAAATTGTCGTTTTGGAAAGTAACGGAGAGTGACTAACAAAATTAAATAGGTTAATGTTGTAAATTACAATAACAAGAGGGAGCTATAGCCACTAATAGATTCAGGATTTAATTTTTGGAGGGGTTTCAGCCCGAAAGATTTTTCTTTTGTATGTATATATTATGATAATTACTTCGGAAGAAAGAAATAAACTAACTACCTATATGAAATGGTGTTCAAGTGATTCTTTAAATCATATTAAATGTAATTAGATGAACAATAATACTTGTAGAGATAATTATTTTTTTTTTTTTTTTTTTTTTTATAAAACATGGTTATATTTTACCATTTTTTGGGGGGAAGGAGAAGAGAGGGGCTTCTGTCCGAAAGACAATCTTCCTCCCATCCCCCGTAGACCCGTCTGTGGCTACAGTCAACGGGTCACTGATTTCAATAAATTTTTTTTTTTTTGTAATACTAAATAAGTATCCATATTCCAACGTTCGTTCCAATGAACCTTAAAAGGCGAGAAAAAAAAATTAAATAATTTCATATCAAATGTGTGTTATTTATTTTTGCCCAGATTTTTAGGTTATTTTATATCAATCGATTTCTTTATTTTTTGTGCAGAATAAGAAAAAAGTATTGATATTGTATTATATGATTCTTAATTTATCAATAATTGCAAAAACTAAAAGGCACTTCCTGTAAAGTAGTCCAAGTAAATTTTTGTCACAAAAAAGCAAGTTGGATTCGTTTTTAATGTTCTTTGAAACTCTTAAAAACGATTTGTTAGAGAGCTCAAAAATGCTAAATTTAATACTAGATTTTCTTAGAGGATTTTTTTCCAGACCTATAGCGATAAAATTCACAACTTCTCAGGATTTACTCAAAATTCAACTTTAGTACAACCGTTGGAAAGCTGAATCACTCCTCTTCCAACCCACATCGGTACCTTTAAGATTTCAATCTTGGTAAACTAGAAATTAAGAAAACTTCTCAAAAATTTTAATTTTAAATCTTCAAGGTAGCGTCTTGGGCCCCGTCCTTTATATCCTTTTTACCGCCGATATCCCTGTCCATCCCAATACCTTCCTGGCAACATTGCTGATGACACCGCCATCCTATCATCCAACTCAGATCCCGAAATAGCATCTTTAAATCTGCAAAGGCACCTCTCCGTGATTGAGCACTGGTGTAATAAATGGCGAATCAAAGTAAACGACTCCAAATGCGAACACATTACCTTCACACTCCGCCGCAGATCCTGTCCGTCAGTCCACTTTATTTCCATCCAGCTTCCTTTTTCAGACACAGTCCGGTATCTTGGATTTATCTTAGACCGAAGACTAACGTGGAACCCACATACTAGACTTGAAAGACAAGAACTTAACCGACGATACGGCCAATTATACAGACTACTGACCAAAGAATCTCAACTTTCAATTGACAACAAATTACTGAACTACAGGACAATCCTGAAACCTATTTGGACCTACGGACTTGAACTTTGGAGGACAGCAAGATTCTCTAACATCAAACACATCCAATCCTTTCAAACCAAAGTCCTCCGAACAATAGTCGATGCTCCGTTCTATGTAACCAACAAAACCCTACATCATGACCTTAATATGCCATTTGTCCTTGACCTTATCCCTGAAAATTGTTCAAAATTCCATCAGAACCTTATCAATCATCCAAATCCCCTAGCCCAACCCCTATCTAGTTCCACTCATCCCTACAACCATCCTCGAAGGTTGAAGCGGCAGTGGCCTAGAGATCTTTTATAGTATTTATTTTGGAGTTCTGGCAATGGCCAGATTCTCCACTCAAGACATGAATGTATGTGGCTAAAGCGCTCTCGCTCAAATTCCACCGGCTTTAGCACCGGTGAGGCGGTTGGGAGAGTAGCGCGGGGATTTGGGTTCCCCGCCTTATTGTAAATATTGTATATAAGTGTGACTGTTTTTATGTTTTTAATTTAGTATTGAGGTTTTTTTTTTTTTTTTTTATTGTATATAGTTTTTATTTATAATTATTTAGTTATTATTTTACTTTTGTTAATTTTATTTTTTTTTTTTTTTGTATATACGGTGTGAATGTGTTCATTTATCAATATAATTATTGTCCTTGTGACAGAATATTATATGTCTAAATAAATAAATAAAAAAAAAAATTTTTTTAAACTTTGGTTCTAATTTGTTTACGTGCTTAGCGAGTGACGTCATTGTCCAGGGGGTAGGGCGAATGTCTAAGGCCGGCACTGAGTTTATATGAATAATAAAATTAAATTAAAGTTTCCTAAATTACTTTAAATTTTACAAAAAAGGCTCACATATAACCTATAGACCAAATATTTTGGTGTGTTTTACCAATTTTACATACTTAAAATTCATGAAATTATAAAATACACCATTAGTTGCATACATATGAAAATGTTAAACGAAAAGATGAAACCTTCCATATCAGTTAGCCAAACCTCCTTCTGCTTATAAGGTAATAAAAAAATTACATGCTCCTAGACTGTTTACTTACCATCGGGAATGGAATCTAAGCAATATTTCTCATAATCTACGGAGGTAGGCTGTTCGTCAAGCAGTCCGACGCACAGATTCAGAGGTTCATCCCTAAAGAAGAATTTCCTCAGGAAACAAAGGAGGCTTTCGATATCATCGTTGGTTATTTGAGCTATAACGTATCCTTTCTTTTCGGCCATGGGGCTATTTGGAATCTCCTAGAAGAAATAAAGTATTTAATTATATGTAATAACCTTTAAAATAGATTGTGTCTTACGGATTTTCTTTGATAAATAAGGTCGAAATAAACAAAAACAAAAAGTTTAGCTACATCAAAATCGCACTTGGTGATATTTTTTGCAATAAAACAAAGACATATTAGTAAATTGAAGAGAAAATTAAAGCTGATAGAAATGCAATACAGTATTATGTACTTAAACAATGTATCCCGTAAGTAAATGGAAATATAAAGAGGTGGTTGTTGACTTCAAAAGAACCATTGTAATCGACCAAAAATTCATAAAGTTAAACCCCTTAAAATTTGAGTTTTTATGTTTCATGGTACGTTGAACCCGAAAATCCAATAAAAAAATGTCTGCCCGCCTTTTGCGACTTTTCTCCGACTTTTTTTAAAATTAAAAATCATCCGAGGATGATCCACCTACTTAGATATTACCATCCGCCTTTTCCTTTCAATATGGCGTCCAAAAAACCTGGGTCGCTATAGACTGTAGCGTCGAAACTAATCTATCAATTTTAATCAAATTTGGCTGGTCTTCTCCTCAAATACACTTAAATTTATGTAAATAACACACTTCACTGAAAAATACTTTCCTATCAAGATAGCGGTCGAAAAACCCTGTGCAGCATAGACCAATATAGACTAAACGAATATACAGATTTCGATGAAGCTTCTATAAAGTATACTCCTTCAATACCCTTTAAATTTATCTAACATAACGTACTACCCTTAAAAAAATAAGGGTGGAAAATTAATTTTTCAAATAACTCAAAAAATATACGTAGTTTTTTTAATTTTTATAATCAGGTGTTTCAAAGGTATTTAAATGTCCTAGGAAATAAAATATTTTTGGTGTATCATTTTCAATAATCAACCTTTGTAATCGACCAAGAAAAAAAAAAAATTAAGCCCTCCTCATAATTTGAGGTTTTTCGTTTTAAGATACATAGAACCCAAAAATCGAATAAAAAAAAACCATCCGCCGTCCCCAGCTTTTCTCCGAGAGACCGATTGTTTTGAGATTCGCTTTCTACGTCTAAGTGCAACCGAGGATGATCCTTGGAACTTCGCATTTGTTTTTCAAGATAGAGACCGAAAATCCTCTATCGCTATGGACTGTAGCTCCTAAACTAATGTACCAATTTTTTATGAAATTTGACCAAAATCTTCTCCTCGAGGTCCCTTCCATTTAAGTATATAACACACTTCACAAAAGTTAAAAATTTAAGGTTTTTCGTTTGAAGATAAGTAGAATCCGATAAAAGAAATAGTAAAGAACAAAAGAAAGTTCCGTGCTCTCATTTAAAATTTCTCCGTCCTGTCCGTAAATGGTCATTTAAAAGTTTACTAAATTTCTAAAAAAAAAAAATTATGGATTCGTTGCAAAGATATCTTTTTACACACTTTCTACTGCAAAGCTTAAAAATTCTTTGTTTTTAATTTTGGAAAGTCTTATATCACCTTAAGCAATCGAGATTGGTTTCTGATTTTCTTTGCTAATTACTAATGATGAAAAAAAAGTTATTTAATCCTATATCAGGAATCACCTTTTATTTATTTTCTCCTGACAAGAAAAGTAGTGTTGTTTATGATATGTATCTGTTTGAAAATTATAAACTATTGTGTAATAATTTGCAGCGTTTTTTTTTATCACCCTTCAACTGCACTACAGATAAACCACTTATGTAAGAACTTTATTTTTAATTAGCTTTAAGTCCATATGAATTAAGTTGAGGTTTATTACTCAATTATACTTCAATTTGTTTCTTTTTTTGGGGAGTGTATTGTAATAAATTAATTATTTAAAAATAAATGATTTATTAATAAAAAATAGCTGCTTTTCACAAGTTAATCATATATGGTGATAATGATTAGGATTTTTTACACGGATATCTATTATAGGAATTGATCTTTATTGTATTGACCGAACAAATATATGATCCTAATCTTAATATTTACGTCATATTTTTTTAAAAATTTTATTTATGCCTCTCTTTGTCGTCTTTCGCCATCAGAGATCTTGCAGCCCAGTACCATTCCGATTTGGATGACATGGTATCTCTTATTTTCAACAAGCGCGAGCATCTACCTAAACTCGCTGCGTCCGTATGTGCTCCCGAATTACATAGGTTACAATGTGGAGAGTCTGCGATTCCTTTTCTATGCAGGTTCTTCTTAAGTTAGTCGTGGCCTGTTACCATCCGAAACTCTGCCATAACTTCCTTTCCCGGCAGGTTCATCGGAACTCATTAAACAATTTTCTCCAACGTTTTTCCGCAATACAACTCTTTACTAGTTGTATTTCCGTTAGAATCCAATATTTACGCCATCATGCAAATAATTCAAGCAATTGCCGTGTTTCATTGATTTATTATTTATTTTTTTATGAAATCTTAATTTACAAGACAGCCGTCATCAATACTAATTTAAAATAATAGCTCATTATTATTAATTAATCTTTCTACATAAACTGAAATCCTGCAATTGCTAGAATTATTTTTATGAAAACATAAATATTAGGATTAGGAACAGTTAGTTGGCTAATTCTTAAATAAGTAATATAAAAACAAATTTTGTGAAAATATTGGTCCATCATGGATGGCTTTGGGTGGTAAATTTTGAAAAAGTATTTTTTTTTTCCAAATTGTATTTTCGTAATTAATCTGATATAACACATCCTAAGTCACGAGAAAAATGAATAAATTAAAGGTTGTAATAATTTATTGCAGTTATTTTTTCTGGAAACACTGGTACTCCTGGGTGACAGAACATTAAATTACATATATATTTTTACGCAATTAAGGATGAATCTCAACTTATTTGGGGTACAAACTTCAAATGAATTGATTTGGAATTAAAACTTAGTAAACAACACGTTTTTGTAAGAGTCAGGTATCTGTATTTCAGTTGGAGGGTAATAAATAAAAATTATGAAAAATCCACGATTTTATGAAAAAGAGAACGTAGCTTTGTTATAGCCCTCTTAAAAGTTTCCTTCATATAGTATTAACTACAAACGCTACTTTCATACAAAGGAAATTTTATATAATGTAATACGAAGCTGTTGTTAATTACCTTAATACAGTATTGTTTTGGTTATCGCTTCCAATTTAACAACAAAAAAAAAAAAACTGACACTCGAAAAACAACTAATTTTATTTTCCTGCTTTTCAAAAAGTCAAACCACGGCCTTTATAAACATTTTTGTAGATATTGAAATCTACTCGGATTTTTTTAAATATCTCTCTTTAGTTACGTCACACCCTGTGTATATTTTTCATATTTAAATGGATAATTCATTGTTGTGCAATTCATTATTTATTTAGTCTCTACCCGTAAGAGTCATTGCATTATTGTCTCACTTTTATATTATTTGATAAAAATAGATTTCTTTTAAATATTTCAACAGTTTTCCCTATATCTATTTCCTTATCCTGCAGGGTTTCTTTCATTTCCGTTCCCATTTGTAGATTTTCCCCTACAGCAGTGTATCTACTACATTTTAAGAATATCTGCTTCACTGTTTTGGGTATTTGGCAATGTGTGGAAGTTGAGGCTTCTAATCTTCGCAGGAGGTATCCATGAGAAATTATATGATTCATTATTATATAATTAATATATGGTGATATATATTTAAAGACATAGTTATAATTATTGTTTTTAGTTAGTTTCTTTAGACGAATTAAGAAAGTTTAATCGAAAATATAATATTAAAAATCTTAGCTTAAAAAAATATATCGCATTTGCACAATTGGGATTATATGACTTTAGCAATAAAAAAAATCTTGATATGGAAGATTATAATCACTAAAAAGACTAATCAAAATGTTAGTCATGTCTAAGATAAGATATAAGGCAAATTGGGGAAACAATTGTAGTGGCATATGTGCATTATATGTAATCGTGATACTTCAACGAAAATCACTTTTTAATCATAAAAAGCTTTTTTATTGTTTATTAAGAATATGTTTTAATTTCTTTCTTTCTTAACAAATAGAGATATTCCTGCTTTGATAAAATATTGTCTATTTCCATTGTCTATTGATGTAGAGTTAGATTGGTCAAGGAGTTTAATTACAGTTGATGAAGTGAAAGATGTTTGTAAATAATGTATACGCAAGGGAATTTGTAATGTCTTTATGGTTCGTAAATGGAAGTTTGTTTGTAACATAATTTTTTCTGTATAAGAAGAATTATATCATGAATGTAAATAGAATTTATTTGATTTAATTGTACTTATATTGATTTTATATCAATCAGTGTCGAGGTTGGCAAATGAATTTGGCTGAGTGTAACAAATGAACAGTTCCCCAATATAAAACATTATTATCATTGAAGTACATCAAGATGCAGTGCCTCGTTTTAATCTAGTGTTGCCCAAAATCGGTCTTTATCTTGCACTTTAAAAGGCCAAAAGCAGACTAAAGCCTTTCTGTGAATAAAAGTAAGGCAAAATAGTTACTAATACTAGACAATTTTAGTTATTATATGAAAAGAATTGATATACTTCCTATGCTTAGTTATAGTTATAGAACTTTCGGGTTTAGTTAGGTTTCCTCTAATATAACATCTAAATGTACCTATTCTGTGGCGTTTTTCTAAAACATAAAGTAACATGTTTTATAAATAGCAACAAGCTAATAGGTAACAACAAGGCTCTTGCGCTCGACAAAGATAAATACTGAGTTTGCAAGACCAAGGCGAGTCTTGCATCTGGGCAACATTTCTTCAATCATTGTATTTGATAGAAGAATTGCGAGACAAGTGTAAAACTTGTCTGACATTACTCTATCTTTTTTTTTTATTGGTAATTTTTTATTACCTTAGTTAACTTAAAAATTACAAAATTTAACTTTCCTGGTTCTTTGTATATAATCACACCATGGTTTATAGCAAATTTTTATAGGTTTTAAGGTCTGTTATCACATTTTAATTATTATATGAAATTAATGTCAATCTAAACCACATATCGGTATTACGAAATTCCCAATTGATTGGTATCGAATATAATTCTGTTGTCCAATACTTTTCAGAATCATCAAAACAAAGACACTTTGAATAATAATTGTAAAGGTTAAAAAAAAAAAAAAACGGATCAAACTTCAAAATGGTATCATCTATTATGAACGAAATCAGTTTTATAGTCTGGAGTAATTTTTGCTTGATGTGAAAATGCAATAAATATAATTTCATAAATAACTCTGTAACCTTTGATTAAAAAATGTACAAGGTGATTTTTATGGAGATTTTAATATACGTTAATAGTGAGCGCAACAATCTTTGCAAAAAATTTCATAGTTTTTTAAATATTCTCAAAAAATTAAAAAAAAAAACATCAGTTTTCTGTCCTTTACCCTCCGGATCTCAGAGATGATGTGAAATAATAATGGATTGAAGCGAAAGCCTGTCTGTGAGTGTTGTATTAATCATATCTGCAATAGTTCAAGAAACTATTCTCTAGTGAGAATAGCATTAATAATACATTATTTTCTTTTTCTGTCCACCCCATCCTCACTTTTTAGGTTATATGTGGATTTTTCAGGGCCAGGGGTGAGGACAAGGAATTAATGCTCGAGTTAAAAGCTCTCCTCTCCCCGGCACAAGGGCGCGAACTCATAATCATTTTATATCTTACAAACTTCGGTTTATCATGTGGTTGGTTCCTGGTCAACACGTGATATGTACACGCGTCAGCTCACTCGTCCACTCCTCTTCCAGAAATTCTAGTGATATACAATTTGCCTTAATAGAAAAAAAACAACAACATTGATATGTATATGGGAGTCTGTCCCTTCAAGGGCGTTATCGCAAACTCTTCCTTCCAAAGAAATATTATTGCTTTCTCTTTCATAAAACACGTGAAACTGAATGTAGAATTATAAACTTCATAGATCACCTACAATTATACAAGCTGTGTAATATACACTTGTCCGTTCTATGTTTCTCCCTCGTTTCCTCCAAATTGAAAACCCACAAAAAAATAAAAAAACGTAGCCCCGTAAAAATATGCTTCCATTAAAAATTCAAAACCTCATGAAAATGTCCGCCCCCTCAAAAATGTAAGTGGCGCAACCTCCTTCTGTGCACCTCATGACCTTTAATGCATAGGCTATAAAACGACAATTGCCATATTTTGATTCCCAAATCTATAACATTTTGATTTGAGGGAAAAAGCTATTCGGTCTACATATAACTTTGTTTAAAGTTAAAAAAAGAAAAATCCCATAAAATTAATAATTATGGTAAATAAATGTTCAAGGAGTTAATTTATATTATAATAAGAATATATGATTATAAAAATATGATTATTATATGATATAATTTTATTTGAGACTCACCTAGCTATAATCTGTCATGAAGTGAGAAGAAATTGAGTGTCCCCTCTTATATCAGTACCTGGCCGTTATCACCTGCCTTCGGTTTGCCTTTATGACCTAATAGATTTAATAAATTGACATTAACATACTGAAGTCTTCATTAACACGCAGTTGCACTCATTTGTAGTTCAGTAAAATCATCTTGAAAAGGGAGCATCAAATCATCCCTTGCATCAAATTAGGAAGTTCTGTTTTTTATTTATTTTTGATTAGACTATTTTGGAAACCACCAACATTTTATATATATATATATATATATATATATATATATATATATATATATACATATATATTTTTTCTTTTTATGTTTCTTCAATTTAGTTTGACTGACCACATTTTAAAAAAAGAATATTTGAATTGAAAAAAAAAAAAACCGACTACAGATATTATAAAATTCTATACACCCGAAATGCAATAAATCTACCAAGATGTTTAAAAAGATATAGAAGTACATTCTCTTAGCGTGGTAAATGTTCCTAATTTCTGTAGTTTTTTTTTTTTTATAATTCAAATATTATTTTATTTTAACATGTTTAATTTTTAAAATATTAGCCTCATGCCTGTCATGCCATTAATGTCTATAATTCCATCCAATCTGCGCTGACTGACACTTCCATGACAGACGCATATGAAGGAAGGTATGAAAAGAAAACAAATATATTAACAATTTATTTTCATAACATATGATCACATGATAAAATTTCAAACCAATTAATAATCGAGATACTTGAACTATAAAATATTTTTTTAACAAAATGGTGCCAAATTTGTTTCTTTAATTCAACATCCTTGTGGTTGAGTTGTTTTATTAATAAATATTAAAACTTCAGAAATAAGATGAGGTCACAAGTTAATCCTGGCTAACTAATTATTTTTAAAAATTATTCGGAGCGATTCGAATGTACTACCGACATAATTATGGCTCGCAAAGTTCTAATCCGGACGGGCATTCACCATTTTAGAATTCACATCCTTTTCATACGAACTCCACCTCAGAGGTGCTCAGAAGGGGGGCTCATGGCACAACTTGCGCCATCAAAATTTTTGAGGGAGGTATAATTTGAAGGATTTTTGAATTTTTTAGGGGAGGGAGGGAATTTCGCCGGGGTACAGAGACCTTCCCGCAAAGCTCCTGAACACGTCCTAATTAGAGCCCAGATCCTAAAACTGGTTCCTCGGAAGGCTATTCCTTACTTATTAAAACTGTCAATCATTAAAATGATTCATAAACCCAAAAAGCCACCAGAATAACCATTCTCTTGTCGTCCTATTTCTCTCTTTTACCCATCATGGAAAAATTCCGGAAATACTTATCTTAAAACGCCTGTATCCCATCCTAGATTCTTATCACACTATCCCAGATCATCAATTTGGATTCCACACATCTCATCTTGTGGTAGACGTAATCTCCTCATTCGAGCGTGGAATGTACTGCACGAGAGTTTTTCTCGACGTTGAACAGGCGTTTGATAGCACCCGGGACTGTTGTATAAACTCCGGAAATTCCTACCACCTATATACTTCCTCTTAATCCGTTCCTATCTTACTGATAGATACTTCCATGTAAATCACAACAATGCCTATTCATCCTTTTTTTTGTTGCTGGTGTTCCTCAAGGTAGTCTCCTAGGTTCTATCCTTCACACACTTTACACAGCTGACATTCCAATCCATGTCAACGCTGTAATCATCATAAATGCCGATGACATATGTGTCCTATCAGTTAATAAAGACCCATCAGTTGCATCCCAAACTCTTTAATCACACATACAAAATCTTGAAGAATGGAGTCAAAACAGAATCAAAATAAGTCCCACCAAATAACCTTCATCGTCGTCGTAAACCTATGACTTCTTGTCCTACAGCGTCCTTTAATAATAACCGTTTATTCCTGTTGAATAAATCTTACTTGTGCCTATGTAACTAGGACTACACTTGACAAACGTTTAACTTAGAATCCTCATACCGGACTAAAAAGACAAGAAACCGCTCGACGTTTTCAATTACTTCAGCACTTACTAGACAAACGCTCTAAACTCCTAATTAACAACAAAAGACTCATATACATGACTATAATAAGGCCTATTTGGACTTATGGAGATGAGCTTTGGGGCTCAACTAAACCATCGAATTCAATCCTTACAATCCAAAACCTTTCTTAAAATCTTAAATGTTCCTTACTTTGGCCCAAGTGAAATCATCCATAACGATCTTGATGTTCCATATGTTTCCGATTTGGCCCAATCCAGATATCTATCTTTCCACAACAAACTTCAGAACAATCCTAACTTCTTGTTCCTAACCTTGCTTCCTCTTCGATCCCTGATAACTCCCCGAGCCGTCTGAAAAGAAGATGGCCTCGTGTTGTTGTAGTTGTATAGTAAAGGCGTAAAACCTGTTGGTTATCAACGCCGTTAATTAAGATTATATATAATTATATCTTCTGGTTGTGAAGAATAGTAATGAAGGAAAATTTAAAAGATGTAAAATGCAGATTAAGTTAAAATTTATTTAAGATTATTATTGTTTACTTATTTAAAGTTAACACCTTAAGTAAAAAAAAATATTTTTTTTTGAGGGAAGGAGTTAGCAGAATAATAAAAACTAGTATTATAAATGATAAAGTAATGAAAAATAAGTAATAATAACAATAATGATTTATTTAGAAAAAAATCTTTGAAAATTATGTTTTTACATATTGAAAATAAAATCTAGAATTATATTTTAACATATTTGTATGATTCATTGTTATTATATTTTGTGCGTTAAAAAACTCAGTTTTACAAAATACATATGTATAAAATAAAGGATACATGTAATATGTAAAATAAACTACATTTCGAAAGTCATCTAAAAATATTTAAACTTATTTTCTAATTACAAATCTTCACATATCAGGTAACACTCATTTATAGCTTTTATAATAAAGGAACTGTATTAGCATATGACTTAGTTGATTCGGTAGACAAAGGTCTTCACACATGTGTGGGGATCTTCAGGAGAGAAGATAACTTGTCCATCTTCATCTTTATATTCTGCGTAGTTGAGGGTGTATATGCAATGGAAGCCAAGTTTGATCACTGCGAGGGCAGTGAAGTGAGATGTGGCATCTGCCTTAACCATTTCAAATCCATTTTCACCTGCTATTCTCCTGAAAAAAACAAACAAAAAAAAACATTAACTACAGACTGAATTTCTTAACTTAACGTTGAATTAGAAGTTCGAGAAGAAATAGATTAAGTGGTCTAGAATAAAATCTTAAAAGACGAAAAAGTTGGAACAGATTATAGGAAGTATAGTTGAAGACGATCGGCAATTTTTCTAATTCTACTTTGGCTTGCATTGTTTTTCAGAAAAGGAGGGCAACCCAGTGCCTCTCTCTACCAATATTTCGCAAGATTTCGGCGCTAATGATTTTCCCTTGTTCTGTCCAATGGCTTATTTACAAAAAAGTAGTCAGTATCTATAATTTCAAACGTTTTTCAAATTACCGAATTTCAATGATTTTCAAGTATTGAAAACTTCTAAAAGAAGTTGGAATGAAAAATTCCTCATTTCTATAGATCTTTGGTCTACATATTATACGAAATGTTTTAGCTTGAAAACCTTAAGTATTATGGCACTACTGTTAATAAAATTCTATCAAGTATTTAATGGCATAATACCATTCTCCACTGGCTTCCAATACCAAGGACGTGGCTGGGAGAGAAGCATTGGGATCTCCTGGAGTCCTGCTGTGGCTTCCATATTTGGAGGACAAAGCAAGACTCAAAGTCTCCTGGGCGAATGTAAATATTGTACATTTATTTTCATTTCAATCCTCTCCCGGTGCCGGAGGGGATTTTAAATTCCCCGCCCTCACCCTCCGGCCAGGGGATATTCCGTATAGCCTAAATGGCGAGGTAAGGAAGAACAGCAAAAAAAAAATATATATATATTTTCATTTCATTTATCTTTTATTTCATTTTTTGTATATATGTATATTGATTTTATTATTTTATTTCTTTTCTTTATTTTCTCCATTTCAGTTATTATTTGTATGTACAATATTATTTGTATATTGTGTGAATGATTACTATAGTCTTAATATTAATGGTCTTCAATGTGGCAGAATGTTTTAATATTCACTTAATAAATACAAAAAAAATTGCTCATTACGATCAAATGTTCAAAATAATTTACACCAGACTGACCACACTGTTAGGAAAATATCAAAGATAGATTACAGAAATATTCTTTTGAATTCCTCCTCACAAATGTGCTGGTCACATTGCATCCCAAACTGAAAGGCTTCTTTCTATATGTAGGAGGGAAAATGTTGATTTATTAATAATCTTACTGATCAGCTGAAGGAAATAGTTCTCTCTGATGATGTAGAGTTCCATGACTGCCCATCCTCCCAAAGTCGATGGCGCATGAACCTTCTCCCACCCGTCACAAGACATTTTATTGCTACCCTCTTCTTAAAAACAGTGTCACAAAAGTATAATGTAATAATTCGTAGATTATATACAACTACACATCTAGCAGTCTTTTCCACTCTTCCATTTGTGTTTTTATTGGAAACTTTTCATTTGGAAAATTCTTAACCCCGTCGAAATGTGCTTCCTCAAAACTTCAAAATTCCGTCAAAATGTGCCCCCTCATAAATTTGGAAGGTCACAACTTACGCCATGAAACTTCCTTCTGGGCATCTCAGTAGAGTTCTGTTCCCTCAGACGTTTCAGTCTCTCCTTGAACCGACTTCAAAATTCAACTAAATGATTACAAAAGAATAATTTATGAGAAAATCTTTTCCTCTTCTTTTTTTGACATCCTGAAGATGTAAACTTATCATTACAGGATGTTGTTAAAATTGATTCATTTAAGCATTAAATATTTTTTAATGATTGCAGGTACTACTTTAAATTTCTTTCCCCAAATAGATCAACGGTTTTGCGCATTTCTGTATATAATTTTAAGTTATGTTATTGTGAAGGATTGGTAAGTATTAGTGGTACGTCTTTGCAACCAGTTGCCTCTTTCTCATGACGCCAGCACGCTAAACCTACAAACAATTATTAATAAAAAATTACAAATTTCATGTATGACTACTCATTACAGTTAGAAATGATCTGATATCTTACCTGGTTTCATCAAAAAGCGCCTTGGCGATGCCTCGACCTCTGTATGCTTCGTCTACAGAAGCTACTCTGATGTCCAGGAACTTTTCAACGTCGGGAAACCTGCCGAATATGTCCGCCTCGGTATAGACCTTATCGAGTAGTTCTTGAATTTTGCGGAACTTGGCGTTGTTGCACTCCATTTCTTCTTCATCCACGTCTGATCGTTTCACGACGCCATTGAGACAAACTCCGATGATCTCGCCAGAGGGGGAAACTGCTTTAAGTGAGAAACCTAGGAAGTTAAACTTGAGTTAATAAAAATAAATTGATAATTTTGGTTGGTATTCTCAGTATTATTCTTACATTGAACTTTTAAAAACGGTACAGGTAGCCACGCTGCGAAACCCAGTCAGCGCAAAAATTAATATTAAACATGGGATAAAATAACCGTATCGTTTATTGTATGATCAAGATCTTTTTTTGTGTTAACTCAAAGATGTAATATTTTAAATAACGTTTTTGATTTTTATATCTGAATATTCTTCAGACACGATTGACCAGAAAGGCTTTTCAATAACATTGTATATACTAAATGGATTTTGCAACATGATTGTAGATATACTTGGTCGTGAGAACACAGCCCTGATGAGGCCTTGCATCTTGGGCCGAAACGACGGAAAAAATAAATATAATTTATCTATTTTTACGAGTGACTGCTCACCCGAAACAAATCCTCTTCGTTATGTTCACTGCAATCAACTATTAATCCTCTAGATTAGATTTATATATTTAGCTAATTAATTCATTGAAACAGATTTTTGTTTTTCATTATAACTCTTGAAACAAAATCAAAATGCTATTTATTACTTTTATTATTATTATGCTATTAAAATTATTATTCACATCTGCTGATTGTCAATATCATGACGAGAGTAAAAGAGAAAAAAAAATATTATTTTTTTATGCTTAATATGCACTTGTGTGTATTCCAAAAATGGTGGTGTTTTTTCGCAAAGTTTATCAACTTATTTTAGCCGAGGTGCGAAGACTGTGGTAATTGTCACCTCACAAGCCGTTAGAACTCCGATCCAACGCGTTCGAACTTCGCGGCATGAAATGTATTTGAGGACAAAGTTTAGACTAATTATACCGACTGTTTTGAAATGGGCACAATTGAAAAATTTGAAGATAAAAATTACGTCAAGAGAAAGCTGCCAGTCGACTGGAGACGATTGAGCTGACATTTTAACGACCCCACCTAATCCCATCTAACCCAATCAGATATCTCATCTCCTGCTGGAGTGTTACTTTTGGACTAAACCAGATCTCATCCCCATCTCATCCGGGGTTTTTGATAACCTTTATATTTTTGTCACATATTTGGGGAATTATTTTTAATTTTGAAGTGTCCCGCACTATAACACTGCGCAAGGGTTGCCATCTCCCCAAATCGCATGAATTCTTCATCTCCCAAGAAATTGTATTGCTCTCTTCCTCTTGAAAAAGTCCAAGCGAAAGTGATTAGTAAAACTGGAAAAAATGTAGATCATATAGCATTACTCTTACCAAGGTATGGTCCATGATTTTTTTCTCGTCATCAAGTTTGAAATTTTTCACGCCTAAAATTTATAACCCCGTCAAAATGTGCCTCCTCAAAAATTTCAATCTCCCAACTTATGACCACGTATTTTGCTCTTCTATTCCCCTCCTAAACATTATTTTAGGAATGTTCCTTTTTGTCAATTTGGTTTATATATTTTTCACTTATACGACACCTTTAACTATGTAAACTCAAACATTATAAAATCTATATTTATCCTTTTATTAGCATAATATTTATTGTGCATAAAAATTATTTATATAAATAATATGTATACACAAATTCTGCGTAAATTTAATTTAAAGTGTATCCAAGTTAGTCTGTTGCTTATGTCTTTCCCTATTTAAAAATTCCGGTGCGCGCAACACACAACTTTCACTTACCGCTCAACTTTGAATAGAAATTATTTTCTAGCCATGTTGAGCTATTATAAAATTTTTAACTGAGCTAAATTTAAAAAAATGACAGCTAAAAAATCATAAATACCATTAAAATAACAAAAGTCCTATTTATTATATCACCGCTTGATTATGGATGGTACGACTATTAGTTATTAAACTGTTATTTTCCATTGCAAAGTTTAGTAAAACAGAATTAAGAGATTTGCATTGTCTGTAATAGACATGTCAAAAGTTGTCACACCAATTGTAAGTGGATATTGTTGGAATATCACAAAAGGAAATTTCATCAAACTATTCACTAATTCAATTTTCTAAAAGATTACTTGATGATTTTTTTGTAATAAACGACGATAGATACCTATATATTTAAATATAGTATCAGTTCTGGATTTATTAAACTACAGTAAATATATTTAAGGTTATAAACGTATCTATGAAATATTCTCATATTTCACTTCTTCTTTCACACAAGTACAATGAAATAGTAGTGGATACTGTTGGAATATTACAAAGGGAAGATTCATCAAATTATCCACTAATTTAATTTTCCAAAAAGTTAGATGACAATATTTCAGAATAAATGGACGTTGATACCTAATTATTTAAATATAATATCGGATCTAGAATTATTAAACTACAGTAAACGTATTTAAGGTTATAGACATATGCTTTATACATCCATGAAATGATTTTATATTTTACTTCTTCTTTCACAAAAGTACAATGAAATTGTTTTTTAAACAAAGTCATCGCCTTAATTAGGTGGATTTGAAATACTTTTTTCAAACTTAAAAATATTTTAAAAGTTTATATTTAGTAGGTATTTTTCATTCAATTGCCTTAAAAGCATGTGATTTACGGTAAATAATATTAGTTTTCAAAAATTATTATTGATAATATTTTTGCCACTGTCTGTTACCTTCTACAACTTTCCATATTAGATATTGTTTTTACTAAAATTCTCCGCTTTCAAACGATATATTATACGTATACCTTCTAACTAGTATTTCCGCAGATTTATTTTCGACCTGGATAAATATTTTTATTTTCATCTCCTTTATTCAATTATCAAATTCTTTCAAAAGTTATACTTAGCATTATTTCGTAACTAATAATAATGAAAGATAGTTAATTATTTAAAATAAACCCGTAAAAAAAAATAAATACGTAATATCACTTTCGTACAACTTTTCGTTTTTGAGCTAGACTGCTAACTAACATACACACAGACACACTGACACACAGACCATTTTTCGGGACTTGGTTATTTGGACTCAGGGTAATCCAAAACATGCATTTCCGTTGAAAACTCAGATTCAAAAATTTTCTCGACCACAATACTTACCCTTACTATATATTACATATATACACGTAAGTGAAAGTATAAAAGTGTATACTTTTTGAGTTATTCGGAATTTAATTTTACCATCCCTCGTAACTTTGTTTCCAGCTTCTTTTACGTAAGTGAAAATAAAAATTGTTGTTCTGTTAGCAACATAATAGAGGAAAACAAAATATTTTTAGTAAATAACAGACAAAAAGTTGATATGTTTGCATCCTACACAGATTTCTATGACAATGCATAGCCTTGGTTTGAGATTCTAACTAACGAATTTGGGCAAACTGAGTTCACCGAACGAGATTGAGCGTTGTTCAACTCTCCTTAAGGCTGGCCATCGCTAGTGGATATTATCTAAGTATGGATATTTTTAACTACTACGCACTACTTTCTACATGAAACAGGCAAGAAGAGTTATATTTTTACTAACGATCTGATTTATATATAATTCTTATATATAAGCGGTTACCGAAAACGATGGTTTTATTTCATATTTTTAATCAAAATATTAAGATATCGAAGGAACGATAGTCGATAATGTTGGTGTAGATACTATTATCGAATATCGGAAGGAAAATATCGTTATTTCGATAATATCTATGGCCATCTGTATCCTGCAGTGTGGATATTACATTTCAAATTAGTATTTCTATCCTTAATTTTGCAAAACGGTGCTCAATACCTCTTATTTTCACTTGTTTTTAAAGTTTTGTATAATTACTGTTAAAGTCATGAGATTTGATTTTCATTTATTTTATTGTATGTGTTTTATAATATAGTAAATATCTTATCTTAGTACTTAGTTATGGACAATTCTACGTCATCAGTTGACTATAATAATTTGGGACTATATTACTGTCAATGATTTTAGTTTATTCTAGTCCGTTATTGAGATGCTTAATGATTATTTCTCTCAAACTTGATTATAATATGAGTTAATTTTTGCAAATTTATATTGATGTTAATTACTGAGTTGATATAAATAAAATTACATATTTCAATCTTGATAACATTTTTTTGAAATAATTGTAGAATAACTTTTGTTTCTTTAATTTTAATTATTTTTATTGTTATATATATAAGCTGCAACCTTTAAGAACTTATTAGTCATCCGCAATTCTTATGTAATATATAATATCAATGTTTGTTTAGTACGATGTGGTTGTAGTTGGCTGACTATATGAATTACCTATGGGAATTAATTAACATTGTAGATATGAAGTGTCTGTAATCTCTTAAAAGTTGTTTCCTTCAGATTTTTGAAAGACAAGCAAATCCAAATGAAATCCAACTCGGACGTAATTAACATTATCTCGTGGTGTAAGAAATCTCCACCTCGTTTCCTAATCAGTAGGATAACCCATCCTTCCTGCCTTTGTTGGATTAAATAAAAATGTCTAATCCACAATTAACATTAAGAAATAACAAAACTTCCTATTTTTCGGTCCTGGGATAAAAATAAATTTTATGGAGAGCTATTCATCTTTGTACGAAGTTATTTTTGCCGGTTTTATATGGCCTCGGTTACGGCACTTCTTAGTATATTAAAATAAATCTGTATATTCTTTGATCTATTATTGAGTTTTTTTATTTATCTAAAGTTAAAATTGACTTTCATTAGTTCTTTAATTTTTAAATGTTATTTAAGTTTTGGAACTTATATCTCTGTTCTAATGTTTAATCAAATTAGAAATTATTATCGATACAAAAACTAGAAGATATATAAAATATAACAACATTGCAGGACCATGTCTGTTAAATTTGAAAGGACTTGTTTTTAATTCGGACGGATAATTTTAGCAATGGTCCAGAATAGTTTAAACCTGGTACTGACCACCAAATCATAAATTTTCTTATTATTCCTTACCATCTGGAATAGGCTCTACACAAAACTTCTCCAATTCCTCACAGGTCGGCTGCTCATCAAGCAATCCGATGCAAAGATTCAGTGGCTCGTCCCGGAAGAAAAATTTCCTGAGGAATGACAGGACAGTTTCGATGTCATCGTTGGTTATTGGCACCACCTTGTATCCTTTCGGCTCGGCCATCGGGCTCTTTGAGATACCCTGAAACAAATAACATACGTAAAATGTTTTAAATGTCGATTCAGACCTTATGTTATTAATGTTTACAGCTTGACATGTAAATACAATATGAGGTTTGCACAATATATAAATCATAAGTGTAGTTTTATTTACAGTGGAAAAACAAAACAAAAACTAATACTATTAAGTGAATTTATACATGGAAGGCTTGGTAGCTTTGCATTCTTGCGGAAGTTTAAACAAATTACATGTTTTAGACACCAAGAAAGAAATATGATTTCCAGTTTGTCTGTATGGAAGGCATGCCATGTCTTCTAATAACCTCAGTACTATTTTGATGATATTTTGAGAGATTGTGTCTATTGGAACTTCATTCAAAGATGGCTCTTTCAATTTGGCTTAAAGTCGGTGGAGATCTGGGGAATAGTATACTTTAGGAATAATGAAATTTAGGTGAAATATTAATTTCGTCAAATCTCATTTAACCATTAAAAATAATGTAATTGTTACGAATTCAATGTCTGAGAAAATTCGTAGAATAGTAATATACATTTTTAAAGCATAACGCAAACCGGAATTACTTTAAGACTAAGGTACAGAGTGGAAAATTGTCATATCCAGACTAAACGAAAGTGATCTCAATACAAAATTTTCCAGCCAGCCAGGTAATTTCATATTCGAAATGAACTATAGTAAATAGTAACCACCTAATCCCAAAGCCCGCAAACTCCGGTTTACGGTATATCAATTATAATTACAAATATACATCAGGAATTCAATTCAGTTCTTTCCTGGCGTATGTCCTGATATTAAAATGTTTCAAATAATTGTGTTTTTAAATGTTTCCAATACGATTACGTCGTTTAAACCTCTTTTCGAACACAGTTATATGGATTCAGCCAAAATTTTTCTGTTCAAAAACTGCTTTGTAAATTCACCTTCCTAGGTGATCTTAAGCAGTTTTTCCTCACCTCGCTATACTGAATATTTTAAAAGAATTATCATCATTTGTTTACCGGTTGGTTGAATGTAACTTAAAATTTGAAACGTTCGAGCGCAAATGTTTAAGGTATTTTTCTCATTTACACACATATTTAAAAAACGGCTCGTTCAGTTTGTCACAAGTTAGATAGCATTGAACAAATGGTGGAATATTAAATTTTATTTAGTTATTAAAAATTATCTAATTGTTGCGATAAAATAAATAAAAATTATTATTCTATACCTTTCACCTTTTTTAATCAATTCTGTATTATTAAAAATTATTATACTTATTGTTTTCTGGTTCTTTTTCCAGCCCTGATGAAGGCCTGAACTTCCGCCCGAAACGTCGGCAAATGTAATAATAAATAAAATTATTTATTTTTACCATTTTAATTTGACTAATCACCCCAACCAACCTTCTCTTCAAAATTTGTTTTTTTCATTAGTTTTGGAAATTACTTTTCTTGGTCTTACGCAATTGATTTTTACTCATATTGCCGTGATGAACATTTTAAAAGAAATGCCATCCGTTTACCGGTTGGGAGAATGTGATACTAAACTTTGGTACATTTAAGCATGTCAGTTTTAAAAACGCATCCACTTACCTTAATTTCTGACATAGTTTATATATAACTTTGTTTGATATGGTATAATTTTGGCAATAATTACAGGTATTTAGTGCTTTCTTTTGAACCTCAAGATCTGACATCCGGTTTGGACACCAAGACTTGACGATCTCACTCCTACCCGATAAGGCCTGTCGATTAAGAAGAATATGGGTAGTTTAACTTTCGCCCTTCGAATAAATATGAAAATGGTTACTAAACTACTGCTTGACAGATGTTGCAATCCAATTTCAGAATAAAATGAAAAGCGCCGAATAATACGTTAACAACTGATTGCAATCAAAGTTCAATGAACTTGCTGGAATTTCGTAGCCGATGAAAATATACATACGTTACAAATGGCATGAAGGGCATTAGGACCAAGTTCAATGGCAGATGATGAGGTAACCCGGACCAGGGTACTAGGCCTCAACCTTGCGGTGCCGTAGACCTCAGCCTCACGGCCAACCTCTGTTGTGACGAGATTTCGAGACGGGTTCACTATCCTCCTTGAGGAAATTGGTAGGCTTATTTTGGCGATTCCATTGATAAATTTGTGGTCAATAACATCATTAGCTTACAACATCGTAGCAATTTACAAAGATGGATATCTCATTTATTCGACGTAAGTCTTAATTACTCTAATTTATCGCATTGCCTCTCTTGCGTCTGAATATTATAATTTTAGATCTGTTTAAAATTACTAGCTTAATTTTCTTATTCTTAATGTACGTACAACACGATGTGTTTCTCTAATCGCTGTTATTTTTTCCTTAAGCATTTGTCGTTTGCCCACCAATAGCTGCTAAATTCTCGAAAAGGCCTTCAACGTATTATCCTGAGTCACTTAATGGGTTTTGTATAGAGTTGAGACATTATTGAACACTTAAATCCGTTGCAGAGTTTGATATAAAGGGTATTGAATTTCGTTTCCTCGAAATTCATCCGTCGATTATAATTATTTAATTGGGAACATTGTACGTATACATTTCAATCACCGTGAAAATGTTACAATACAAACAATACCTCCATGGACAGATCAAAACCTTTCAGCTTACTCCACTTCTACAAAGTAATAAAAATTTGGGCTCCCAAAAATGTTTCAGATTATAAACCGTAAATTTTACATCTAACAAGCCCTGGAACGAAGGCGAATAACGGTTGACCCCAGTCTCACCGATTTGATCTTCAAAATAAAAATTTATAGCTATTTTTATTTATTTCACTAACATTTTATTTTATTTATTTATTTAAACGGTACTTAAATAATAGTAAATACTTTAAAGTTTTATTTTAAAAGTAATGATTTCTTTTGTTTCTCAAAATTCATATTTACGAATGAATAAGAAAAAAACAAATTAATTAATTTTCAGATAGAAGAAATCTAACTAAGTCCGAATGAAAAATGAGATGAGTTAAATACAAAAGTATATTGCTTATAACAATTATTAACATATAGTAACTAAAATTGTCGAGTGTTAGTAACTATTTTTATTAAAAAATCGTTTTTTTTTACAAGTCCTGCTCTTAGTCTTGCAAGAGCTAGACGCCTTTGGTCTTGGTCTGGCAAAGTGCAAGACCGATTTTGGGCAATGCTAATAGTCTCAAAGTTCTTTTTTGTTCATTGTTGTAATATAGAAAAAATAGAAGCATATTGGAAATACATTACTAAGTACAGCAAGTTACACCCTCTTCGGATAATAATGAATCATACCGAAAAGCCTGTGGTAAAATAGCTGGCTCATATTTGCTCTTTTAAAATTACATCGAGATAAATGTATTGTATTCACATTTGACTAGAAAATTGTACTTTAATGCCGTTTATGTTAACAATGGAAGATCTATTACAGATAATTGCAGATGTTATTCACCGTGGTCCTTTGTAATATCATTTGTTTGTTGGAAGTTTCTCACAAGGTATTATATGAGGCTTTGAGGAATACGGAAAATTCTCAAGAGTAATTTAAAAGTAAAAAAACATCCTTTTCTCTGTGATGAAGATATATATTTCCATTCTTGTATGTATATAACGTTCAGTAAAAAGCAGATCGTTTCACTGATAAAACAAAAGTTTCTAAAATGTGAAATTTCCGAACAGTTTTGTCGGAGTGGTCTAGGACGAGTGGAATCCCGAAATATATTATTATAAACCGTGGAACAGACTCCATTTTATCAAATTAATAAGATCCGCCTGAAACTTCGAGAATAGCTTCATCTCATCGTAATTTACAACTATTTTATTTACGAAAACTCTTGGAATTGGTGCGTTTTCAATCTGGAGATTGTCACAGTTTGTCTATTTAATTAGGTAATTTAATTACTTTCCATTTGAACCTTAAGATGATTTGATTAGAAAATCGAGAAAAAGGTGGCCTACAAAAATATGGAACCGTTTGGCCTATGTGACCTCGTTATTTTGACATTTTGGGGGTGTAGGTTTGTAGCCAAACGAATTAATATTTTTGTAGGTCACTTTTTTCCTCGACTTTCTACTCAAATTATCTTACGATTTTAAGTTTGCCGATCTCCAAATTGAAAACTCCCAGATTTCTATAATTTTCGTAAATAAAATTGTAGCAGCTTGCGATGAGATGAAGCTATTTACGAAGTTACAGGTGGATGTTAATAATGTCATAAAAAGTACCACGGACTATCAGTAAAATCTCATTTTATTAGCTTCAAACATTTTTTTTTAGATTTTAGAATCTGTTTCAGTAAAACGTTTTACCTCAATTTTCACAGTTTCGAATCGGCTTTAACATTTAAGGTTATTTAGGAGATCGACGCTTCAAGCTTTCCCTCTCTTCCTCTCCACACATAAACTTCTTTGTTATTATTACAGTCTGCAGATGTAATTAATATGCAAAAAAAAATAATATCATAAAATATTCTAATAAAAACACAATTCTCAACCAAGAAAGCATTTTTCTTAAATAAAGATTCCAGATAATTAACAGATGAAAACTTATAAAATACAACGAAATATAATTTTCAAATCAGCATTCTCCATCATGTTATTTTTTTAAGAACAAATAACATTTATGATTATCCGTGTTATTCTATATTTTAAAATTAAATTAAAAAGTCAGTTTTCATTTAAATTCTTTTAATTTTCTAATCTTTCGAGTAACATTATTGACTTCAAAATATATAAATTTATTAAGAAATAATCAAAATTTAGAACGTAATATTATACTACATTGTTATAATAAAAAAAACCACTATAGATAGAGCTATCTATTTACTTTTCAGAATGAGAAAAATATAAATACGCATAGACATACGTATGTGCTTAAAGAACATTAAAAAACAAAAAAACATTCTTTTTCTTTACAAAAACTGAATTGTTTTGCACCAATATCATTCTAATTATTTATATACATTCCACAAATCATTAACGTGTTTGCTAAAAAAATTTTCACGACCTTTAGC